TGTTGCGATTCGATACAGCTGCGACTCGGGCAACTGCTCAATAACGAGTGAGTTGTGTGTCCTTGCTGTCGCGCTGTCTTTTGGCGAGTCAAAGGTCGCTGACCTTTGACCTTCGCTTAACCTCCTGCTGTTACATTTTGTCAACCTCCTCGGTTGACTCGCTGTTGCTTCGCTGTAGTTCGCCTCGCTTACGACTCAGTGTTTTGACATATCAGAAGTGGTACATGTTTCCAACAAGACTACTGTCAGCCCTCGGATAGAAGCGCCCCTGGGGGTATAAAAAAACACTGTTTTTTAGGGGGTGCGCTTATATTTGAGGATTTTTATAAGCGCCGGGGCTTATATAATGACATATATGAAATCTAGTTTTTTTTACACTAAAGTGTTCATCTCGTCCTTGCGGTTTGAATAGAATCGATATTGTAGAGGGTATTGAATGTGAATTTTGCGTGAATTGGCAGTGGCTGATTCCCTGCCAATACACACAGTCAGAATGAGTCAGATTGACCCCATGACAGCTCATTCTGACTGGACGTGAAGGCATTGAGTCGCGCGAGGGGCAAGGGTTTCGAAATTCTGAATGTGGGGATGCAATATTGTGTTTCGTTTCAGCGTTTTCAATCAAAATATGAAAAATATTACAGCAGGTGGCGCTTATAATCGGTAAGCCAGCAGGGGTGCGCTTATAATCGAGGACCGGATATAAGCGCCCTCATCCTTTTATAAGCGCCGGCGCTTATCCGAGGCCTGCGCTTCTATCCGGGGGCTTACGGTATGAAGCTTCAATGGCAGTGAAATCAGGGTTGTCGTTATCAGACCAATTTGGTCTGATGATCTGCGTTTAAGACTGGTTTTTTTGTATTCATCTTAATCCTAAGATTTTGTGTTTGTTCTCATCTGATCAGCAAGATTTGACTTTTAAGTCCGTATGATTTTTTCAGACGTGTAGAATTTTTTATCTGAGGATACAGATAGCGAGTTCGGTTTCGTCTGAAACCGACAACTTGACCCACTAGGCCATAGGCCCAGTTGACCAGAGGACAGGACCACCACAGGTACAGCCGATTGCTACCTTGTAACTGCACGCGCATTCATTACGCGTGTCTTATACAGCTCTGTAACTGCCTTGTGCAGCCTCGCTGGCATGTATCTGCGGCATATGCTGCGAGGCGTTTGTCGTTTGGGTGGCTGTCGGCGCCGACGCCAGCCACAGCCACGACAACGCACTGTCCCGTTGTGCCAGCGCATTTGCTTTTCGTAGAGGGCGCGCAACACATCACTGTGGTCGTAGTGCCCCCCGCTCCCAACACGCACCGCCTTTCGGTTCTGATTGCAGTGCACGGTGATGGGGTTTGATGCAGCTGGGTCTGGCTTGAAAACAAGCCTATTTCTCCTGCTCGTCCTCACCTCTCCCCCAGCCGAGCATGGATCGTTTCCCTCCCAGCGTCTCATTTCCCAGCATGACGCTTCCCAGCGTTTAGGCTATGGCCGTCCCCGCCGGCGGACCGTGCGATGGGGAGCCCGTGCTTTCCGCCCTAGACTTCCTAACGCGGGGCAAGCAGATCGCTTCTGCTGCCCCTCCGATTGCGTCGACCTCTGCTGCGGTACCTTTGCCCAACTCGGAAAATGGCGATCAACACGTGCCAGCAACGACTACCCCAACAACGCTGTTATCCCCTCCGCTCCCTGACGAATGTGCAAATGAGAGCATCCCTCCAGTGTCGGTCGCTACAACCTCTCGCACTGCTAACCCCGTCTTGCCTGACAGATCTTTGAAGAAGCGGTATAAACAGCGTGTTCTCACCGACTGCCGTCTGGGCGGTCCGACTCCGCCAGCACCGTCAGTTCTTCCGCGCCCCGCGGAACCAGAACCTGAACCCGCGACAGAAGACTTCGAAGACCCGAAGAGCAAGCAACTGTCGGTTGAGGAGCTTCAGTTGAAGTGCAAGCAGCAGTGGCAGCGGTATTTTCCTTGGCTCCTCATCTCCGAAAACAAGGCAGGCCGCCCATGCATGCGCTGCAGCGTCTGCATGGTCTTCGGTGACCCGAACTACAAATACGGGCGTAACGGCGATGGCGGCATCGACATCCAGAAGCAGACGATGCGCAAGCATCACCACAGTCTGAAACACGAGGCCGCGGTCTTGAGGAAGGAGGAGCGCGACGGCGTCAAGAAAGTGCAGAAGTCAATTGCTGACTTCCACCGTGGGGACGGTGATGTCAAGTGTATTGCTCGCTTGATGGCTATCGTGCTATTCATTTGCAAGTCTGACGCTCCCATTGTTCTTTTCGTGGCTTTGGTTCAATTCATGGCAGAGCAGGGGACACCGGATTTGCCCCTGAAGGAGAACGGGACGTACTACAGCGAGTAAGTGTCCCGTTTTACTCATCTTTTTTTTTTTTTTTTTTTAGGAGTCTAACGAGTATCAACCCATGGTGTCTCAGGTACGGCTTCACACAACTGGTCGAGACCATGGTGTGCTACCTCAAGTCCCGCCAGCTGAAGCACATCCGCGACAGTCCATACCTTGGCATCCAGCTAGACGAGAGCACCGACCGACGGCGGGGGAAGCATGTGATCGTCTTTTTGACGTTCATGCGTGACAACGCACCCGTCACGGAGTTCTTCGCCTTGCTCAGTGTGGAGCAGTGTGACGCCGCGTCGCTCACCACTGTGCTCCTGACGCATCTGGAGAGTACCGGCATCGACCTACAGCGCCTCACCGGTATGAGCACTGATGGTGCTTCCGTCATGCTTGGACAGCACAACGGAGTCACCGCGCGCTTGAAAGTCAAGGTTCCTCACCTTGTGTCGTCTCACTGCATCGCGCACAGGTAAGCGTTGTTACTGTGCGTTTCCTGCCTACTTTTTTTAAAAACACCCGTGCTAATGTTACCATCTGCTGTCTTGCAGGGAGGCCTTGGCGGCCAAGGATGCTGCCGCCAAGCATCCTGACTTCAACGTCGTGGACAAGGTGGTCCGCGCCGTGGCTGAGAACCTCGGTCGTTCCTGTGTTAACCACGCCCGGTTTCAAGAGCTTCAGGAGGTCATTTGCGAGACCCATCTTGAAGTTCAAGGCATCAAGGACGTCAGATGGTTGTCGCGTGGTGACGCCATCCAGCGCCTGGTGAAGGTTTTTCCTGCTGCAGTCATGGTGTTGCACGAAACAAACAAGAAGATGTATCAAGTCGTAACGAGCTATAAGTTCCATTTCATGTTGTTCTTCCTTTCTGACGTCTTGAAGGAGCTCAACCTGCTAAGCTTGAAGTTTCAGCGGCGTCAGGTAAGCAGTTTCCCGAGTTACACGTGGCCGGTTTTTTCATTTACAATCTCTTACTAACCATCCTGCTTGTGCACCCCCGTTTACCGGTTGAGGCAACCCATGTGCTGCCGATGGTGCACAACACGACCTTACTGCTGCGCACACGCTACCTCGACTGCGACGACGCGATGTTTGGCCAGGGGGGAGACGCGTTGGGCCCGTTCCTCGACAAGCACGCATCTGGGGAGTTCCACGAGGTCCTCGTTGCTGGCACTGCTTCCGACGGCACATCGGTCAGCCATCGATACCGACTGCACGAGGAGAAAATCAAGGGGCAGACGAGCGGTGTGGACCACCAAGCGTGTTTGGTGCTAGCACGCGAGTTCATCACGACCCTGGTCGGCCGGCTCGACTACCGCCTCAAAGACCTGTCAAACCTCGACGGGGCGAAGGTGTTCAAGCAGAGATCCTATCCCAAGAACCAGGCAAAGCGTGAGCGACGGCTAGGCCAATGGCTCCAGTCTCTGCGCAACATGTTCAAGCGGAAGCCAGATGACCCTGACACTATACCAGGTGCGTTAAATGCCAGGAATGAGCTATATGTTTAGCGTTATTTCCACATGCTTGTCTAAACACTACATCACCAATTCCAATGTTCCCATGTGCACCCCAACCGCAGGCATCAACTGGGCGAGAGCGCAGCGAGAGCTTGTCACCTTCTCTACCATCCTGGCCACACACCAAGAGGATGTCGGGTGTGCGGACTGCCTGAAACTCATGCTGTCCTCCCCCGACTGGGCGACGTGCTACCCGAACCTCGTCCACCTGTGGATGGCTGTCGCCGTGCTTCCGCTCAGTACCGTCGAGTGCGAGCGCGGCTTCTCACGACAAAACATCATCAAGAGTTGGCTTCGCGGGAACCTGTGCGACGCGAAGCTGGGAGAGCTGATGGCTGTGTCGCTCCTAAACTATGACATGGAGTGGCCCGAGTTGCTGAGGAGGTGGAATGCTTCCAAGAAGCGAAGGCCTGCTAACGATGTGCTGATGGCGTCCCGGGAGAGACAGAGCAAGCGTGCGAGGAAGAGATCGGCCGCAGCTGCAGCAGCAGCAGCTGCACTGGCAGCAGCAGAAGCAGCTGCTCGAGAAGCAGCCCTGGTAGCAGAAGCAGCAAGGATGGATGTTGAGTACCCGTGGCTTACCAGGAAAGAACGGGCCACGGTTCCCGTGGGGAGTGAGGATGGTAGTAGTGATAGCAATGAGGACTACGGCTCTAGTGACTCTGACTAGGTCCTTTGCTACTGCCTAGGTTGTTTGATAGAATGAGTATAATTGCAGGTAGTGTTCTTGTAGGCTGACTTTTTACTTGGTTTTTTTTTCGTCTAGTTTATCAGACTAGGAAAAATATTTCAGCTTATACTGCAGACCACAAAAATTTCGTCGTCAGAGCCTAAGACGGGGAAAATGTTTTTGAGGGTACTGTCAGACAGGCCCTAAACCTAGCGAGAACCCTGAGTGAAATGCAGTGAAATTGATCACTGTTGTAAAACAACAGATGCGGTACGGTAAGCCTATGGAGAATTTGTGCTATTGGACCAGCACCATATGCCTTCTCTTAATTCCATTTCGTCCCTGTTTTCTGTAGTGAAGCAGGATGTCTGTACAAGTTGCAGAGAGCAAGCTTCTCTTGACTCCACTGTTTTTTTGGCGTCAAGAGTCAAGAACCATGCAGCAATGGGTTCACCCCACATCAGCAACACCACCCCATGTAACCTTTCTCTTCTGGCGCTTCCCTTGCCCCCTCTCCTCCCTGTTATCATCACCACCATCCTCTCCATCCACATGCGCCTCAACACCCTCACCAGCACCATCACCACGGCTCCTACCCTCTCCTTCCGCGTTCCCTCCGTCCATCAGCATTTTCCAGGCATTCTGAAATGCTGAACTCCGTGCAGCGCGTTTCCCTGATGTTTCCGCCTCACGTGCCCTCCTTTTCTGCCCAACCAGTCCCTCCTTCCTTCCCGCCACCTCAATCTCTACATCGCCGCCTTCCCCTCTCCTCTTCTTTCCCTTCCTCATTGCAATACCTGTACCCCCTGCTATGGCAGTGGATTGAGTAGTACCCAACCCATCCTCACTCGCAGGAGCACAGGCAGCAACAGCAGGGAGAGAATATAGAGGCTGTGATGCATACCCCTGCTGTGGCCAGGCAGGCATGATTGGGGGAGGGGCAGACTGGGGAGGGAAGGGATGGGAGGATGAGTGTGGTGGTGGTGGGAATGGAGGGAACTGCATGTACGGATAGGGTGGGTAAGGAGGGGGATATGCCTGATTTGTCAAGTAAGGAGGCTGAACTTGGGTATCCTGAGGGGGTGTAAGGGTGGAAGTGACTGGGATCAGAGATTGTGTGGTTACTGACTGAGGCTGCTGCTGCTGCTGCAGTTGCTGATGCTGTTGCTGTTGCTGTTGCTGTTGCTGCTGCTGCAGTTGCTGCTGCTGTTGGTGCTGCTGAAATTGCTGCTGTTGCTGCTGCAGTTGCTGTTGCTGTTGCTGCTGTTGCTGGGGCAAGAGTAGCTCTTGCACCTGCTGCAGCAACTGCTGTTGTTGCTGCTGCTGCTGCTGCTGGGGTAGAAGCAATCGTTGCAACTGCTGCAGCAGCTGCTGCTGGTGTTGCTTCTGGTGCTGCTGCTGCCGTTGCTGGGGCACGAGCAATTGTTGCAACTGCTGCAACAACTGCTGCTGTAGCTGTTGCTGCTGCTGGGGTAAGAGCAATTGTTGCAACTGCCACAGCAGCTGGTGCTGTGGTTGCTGCTGCTGCTGGTGTTGCTGCGGTAAAAGTAGCTGTTGCAACTGCAGCTGCGGCTGTTGCTGTTGTTGTTGTTTCTGCTGCTGCTGCTGCTGCTGCTGCTGCTGCTGCTGCTGCTGCTGCTGCTGCTGCTGCTGCTGCTGCTGCTGCTGCTTCTGGGGGAAGATATTTCTTTGCAGCTGCTGCAGCAGCTGGTGCTGTGGTTGCGTCTGCTGCTGGAGCAAATGCGATTGACGCTGCTGCTGTTGCTGCTTCTGGAACCATGGAGTCTGTGCTGCTGGTGTACCTCCTGGTACACTACCACCAGCCACCACTGCTCTCGCTGCTCCTGGTGTAAATATCTCTGCTACTGGTGCTGCTCCTGCTGCTGCTTCTGTTGTTCCTACTGCTGGCACTGCTGCTGCTGACACTGCTGCCACTGGTATTGCTGCTGCTGGCACTGCTGCTGCTTTCACTGCTGCTGCCGGCACTGCTGCTGCCGGCACTGCTGCTGCCGGCACTGCTGGCACTGCTGCTGCCGGGACTGCTGCAGCCGGCACTGCTGCCGCAGGTACATGCGAACCCCCTCCAGCGCCATGCCATGTTCCCAGGGAGGGCTGTGAGTGGTCACTGGGGGCAGCAGGGTGCCCTGCAGCAACACGTGCACCAGGTTGCAATGAGGCGCTGAGTGGGCGCGGCAGCAACGGACGGAGGCAGGCGGCAGGTGGGCGAGGAGTGGTGGACGATTTACGCTGCCGTGGGCCATTGGGAACTGGCTCATACTCACACATGCCTCCTGCACGCACCGCTTGCTCACAGCCAGAGCGCCCCTGCTGCTGCTGCTGCTGCTGTGGCTGTGGCATTTGGAGTGAGGGCAGTGCGGCACTGTCACCACTGTGGCCACTATCATCACCGCTGTCGCTACCCTCTTCGCCACCCATGCCTATTTCCTCCTCATCGTCTCCTCCACCACCTCCCTCGTCACCAGACGACCACAAGCCATCCCACTTGGCCCCCTCCACCGAGTTTGCCACTCCTATCCCCACTCCCTTTCCTCCCCTTTCTCCTCCTTGCTCTCCTCCTCCTTCGCCTCCTCCCTGACCTGTTCTCGCCTGACCCTGCCCCCTCCCTCCTCTCCCACCCACACGAAACCCACCTTCCTCTTTTCCAACCTTCCTTCCAGCATCCACTGCGCCTGCCTTGACCCTCCTCCGCCACTCCGCGTCCTCCTCCTTCCATCCGCGCCGCCCGCCTTTCCCCGGCCGGTCCTCCAGAGGGTCATAGTAGTACGGCGTGTTGAACAGAAAATTCCTCCACACTCGACCATCCCTCTTACCAGCCCTCTCACCCCCTCCAGCCCCCTCTCCCCCTCCAGCACCACTCCCTGCCACCCCACCCTCCTCTCGCTCCCCTACGAATCCCCCCTGCCCCGTTCCCCCCACGCCCCTTTCCTGC